AGAGCCCTGGCACCACTGCCTGGAATTGCTCCCATAGACCCACCAGAGAGGGAGCTTCTCTTGGGATTTGCTGCTTTATCAACTGTCAGTGAAGTTTTGGTGGTGATTTCTGCATCCAAGGGGGTGTTTGAGATCGAGCTGACCACTGACTGTCTGTGCCGGGGGAAAACCAAGTTTGCAAGTGCTTCCTCCTCAGAAATCAAAACAGCTCGTTCTTTCCCAACAGGAATTTGGTGAAATCATTTAAGGAGTTTTCTCTTGGCCACCAAAATTGTTTGCTGAGGATCCCTGGCTGCTCAGGGCTCTCCCAGCCCTCTGCTGTATCAAATTCCTGTTTACAGGAGAAGAGCTGGTCCTGCAAACCCAAACGAACAAAATAACTGAGGAGCAACAACATCCTGAAAGTTGCCTTTAATTTCATCAATGGCTTTAAATATTTAGAAAGCGCAATGTAAACACATTTAGAGCAGGCAGACGACTTCCTTGATGCCCAGAATTGTTGGGATGTATAAAAATGAGGCAGATCTCGGGGTGTGGAGCCCCTTTCAGACTTCCCACCAAAGTTACATATTCCCGCGTCGTTGCAGCTCTTCCTCCAGGCAAAACCGTTGGCACCACGTCCTGAAATGTTTCTCATTAGTAAACTTTTCATAACCTCCCAAAGTGCCCCCGTGGGTGCCAGCTGGAGCTGCCCTTTGCTGAGGGCTCCCGGGCTCTTGGTTTGGCCGGACCGGGAGGATGTTCCGGACCAGCTCCCGGGACTGGGCTCTGACCCGAGGCACTGGCCCAGCTCCAGGGATCCTGCACATTCCATGGGAATGCTTTCCACTTGTCCCTTCCATCCCTCAGACCCAGCTTTTAGCAGTTTGCTCCCCAGCCCGAGTCCTCGTGGCTCTTGGCCCTTAAAGTCACAATGAGATTCCAGAGCGGCTCGGGGAGCATTTAATGCTGAATTAACAGCCTGCCAAGGGTGAGGGGACCCTGCTTTCCATTTTTACCACTGTGCAGCCTCAAAACTCCCAGCAGCTCTGATTCCTGTGCCAGAGGCTCTCACCTGCACGGAGCTGGAGCCGGGGGTGAGCGGGACCAGCTCTCCCAGCTGGGAGCAGATGTTGGGGCTTTGTGCCACCCACCCACCCCAGAGTGCTCTGAGCAGGGGCTGCCCTTGCAGGATGACAAGAAGTGCTGTTCTGCTGCAGTTTCCATGCCAGATGTTGGTATTTGTGCTGGGAGGGGTCAGTGCAGCCCGGAATTCCCCACTGGAGATGCAGGAGGGGATGTGGGAGGAGGCTGCAGGGGTTTAGGGGTTGGGCACTGCAGCATCACAGAGCTGGAGGGTTATTTCAGAGTGAAGTCACAAGGCCTCCGTTCCTCCAGGAAAGGTTAATTTGTGAGTGGTGGTTGGAGCCCAGGTTAGTGACATTGTTTAACCTGATTCAGAGCATTCAGAAAATTTAAAAAATATAAGTATTTCCCTGGACTTCTCTTCATTTTCAAATAATCCAGACTATTACCTTAAATATATAATTTTTCAACCAAGACTTTTGTTTAGGCACAGTTTATAGCATTTCCTAGGTATAAATCTTATCTGCTTTTCTCCAGCATGGAAAATAACAAGTGAGCTCTGAATAGTTCTCAGATGCTGAATTCCGAAACATTGGGATTAAATTTGAGTCCCAATGGGTCCTGCACCTTCCCAGTTGTTCATCACTTGCAGGGTTTATTACATTTTAGATGATATTATTAAATCCAGCCACCCCTGGAGATGCTGGTGTGACTTTGTGAGTCTGAAGAGCAGAAGACCATGGAAGAGCCCCCAGAGCTGCTCCAATTTAGCAACGCAGTAATTTAAGTTTCCTTTAAAAGAACAACGATTGGAACCTTATTTACATTTTATAATTACCTTGCAAATTTAATTTCCCTTCCTCCATATCTTCTAGGACTCCAAAAATCTCCTCTTGCTGCAGCTTAAGCCCACGTCCAGCACGTGGAGATCAGAGGGAAACGTGTGGCCAAAGGAGGGCTGAGCTCCTGGAGCTGCCCATCCCTCACACACACCTGCTGGGCTGGAGCAGGGAAAACCTGGGCTGCAAGAAAAACTCAAAAAGAAGATTTGGGCCATGTGGAGCCCATAAAAATGAAGGCAAAATGTTTCAAATGTATATGAAATCAGAAGATAGGGTTGTTTTTTTTTTTTTAAATGTTTCAGAAGTGTTGAATAGTGAAAAAAAAAACCTCAACAGGAGTTTAAATAAACACAGGCAAGTGAGTCAGCAAGAAGATATAAAATCATCAGGAAAGGCTGAGTTTGTTTTAATACAGGGATTACTGTAAACACTTGGAGTGCATGGTAACAATTTGTAGCCCATGTGTTTTGAAATATCATAACTGGTGTCAATAAACACATTAAACTTCAACTTCAAAGGGCTTTGTGGACGTTTGGAGTGTCAGGAAGACATTGCAAAACGGGGATTTGGGATGGAAACGTGTATGGGAGCAATCAAACACAGCTCCAGTGTGAGGAAAGGGATCTTGTCAAGCTGTTAGAGTTAAGCATCTGTGATGGTGATTATTGCTTCCTACACCCGGAGCTGCTCCCAGCCCCTGAGCTCCTTCCCACTGTCTCCCTCTCTTCCCAGCCTGACCTGCCTGCTTGTCTCTCCCACCTGCTCTGTCTCACTCCCAGGGCTGGATCCTTTGGAGCAGGGTTTGTTTCTCCAGTCAAGGAAAGCCCAACTGGTTTCGGGCACTGTCTCACTGGGAAGCATCACTGGGTCTGGATCTGGACCAGGATCACTTGTGGCATGTCCCTACGTTGCACCCTGATGGGCTGAGTGGGGGACAGAGCTCCTTTGTGTTTGCAGTGCTGTGGGAATTACGTTATTCCCACATTTCCAACGTGTCTCTCAGCCCTGAGTCTGCCCTGACACAGCTCCAGCTGTTCCCAGGTCCTGTCACTGTCACAGGGAGCAGGGGTTGGAGCTGCCCCTCAGGAGGGAGCTGTGCAGGACCTGCTGGCTCGAGGGATGGATGTGCCTGTCTCAGCCCAGTTCCTCTGGTGTCTCTCCACAGCTCTCAGAAAATGAACCATCTTTCCATTCCTGAACGAGATCTTGTCACATCAGCACGAGCCAGAGCACGAGGTGGTTTTGATGTCTCACGTTGTCTCATCTGTGAATTCAATTTACTGTGCTCCAGCTAAACACCAACAACCATTTCCCTCACTGCAAACCCTGCAGTCCCCAAATTAATTCACACGTGCCCTTTTTAAGGTGAGGTGTGACAGAACCAATCTGAGGGAACAGATGAGCATTCCCGTGTCCGGGTTTAATCATCCCAGTCAATATTCCCTTGTTTTAATGCTCAGCCTCGTGTTCACAGGGCAGCCCCTCGCTGTGCCCCATCCATGTGCACACCAGCCAGGATCAAATGGAGCTAGGATGTCTGGAACAACCCCTGGAACGCCGAGGGCGCCTGTTGGCATTAATAGAGCAGAGTGTGGGACATGGAGCACACCCTGGGAGGGATGTTCACAGGGATTGAGGGCATGGACACGGTGCTGAGGTGGCTTTAACACCAACCTGCTGCAATGGAAGCAGGATGCAAACAACAGACACAGAGCTGGTGTTTGTCTGGGGTATGAACATCCCTGTGCCTGCATTTCAAGGTGCTGTTTAATCCCTGTCTTTGTCTGGAATGTGCCCCTGGTTCATAACCACCTCCCTGCAGCAGTTGGCACCTCTGCCATGGGAGCTGCAGGAAGGGGTAATTAAGTTTAATAGGAGCCACCCTTGCTTTGAAGCTGCCCTGGCTTTAGGGCCACAAGGAGAAGCAATTAAACCCCGGCAGCCACGGATTCCAGCTCAAGGTATAGAGTGATTTATTTATTTTTTTAAAGGAAATTTCCCCTGTAAACGGATTTGGATTGTCAGATCTGATTGGATTCAAAGCTGCAGAAATTTCCTTCTTTGGGAAATCTTCTCTTGAAGCCAAATGAAATTACTATTTCACTTTCGTGATTTTTACCAAAAATCAGTCTTTAAATTAAGTAACAAGGACAGGGAAAAATATTCCAGAATGCCATAATCAGTGCCAAAGATAGTTCTAACTATTTCAGTGTAATTTTTGGGAGTTTCCCATAAAGGATCAGTTGGAAAAGGTCTCATTCCAGTGCAGACATTATTTGGAAAAGCAAACTGGTAACTCAGTTAATACTTACAGGGAGGTGAAATTGTCCTAATTTTCACCAAGCCTTGGAAATATTTGCAGAGTCTCAGCTAAGCCAGAGGCACATGTGAAAATCTCATTGTTTTTCATCTCTCTTCCCCTTCACGGAGTTTCCAGGTGTGCACACACTGCAGGGATGCAGTAACTCCTGCCTTGGAGTCCTGTGGGGAGCAGCACACCTTCTCCAGTGGGAGATTCTTCCCTCTTAAGGTTTCTGGGATACCTGGGGTTTGTGTTTTAAACCGGCTCTCCCATTATTTCTGACCTCATTAAAAACATTTCCTTTAGAAACCCAGCAAAACCCCAAACAGAATCCAAATATAAATCAATGCAAATGCAATTACTGTAACCGACCTTCCTCTGTGCCTCAGGGCCTGGAAAAATCCATTGATTCTCTGCTGTAATTTATCTGGGAAGTAAGAACACCCCGTTTCACTTCCAAGCCCCAGCCCTGAGTCAAACGCTCCGGATCCCGGTGCAGCTGCAGGGACTGGGAGTGGGGAGCACTGGGAATGAGGAGCACTGGGAATGAGGAG